CAAATTTTTGTAAGTTGATAACTACGCAGTCCATAAATGACAAGATTGAACAAACTTCAGCATTTAGGCAAGGTTTGGTATAGGAAATAAAAAGCCATACTAAAGGCAAAAAAATATAGGAAGTTATTATACCTGATTAATTCGGCTAATTTGGAATAATGAAGCGCAAATTTTAAAAATTCTTTAAGATGTAGAAGTAATGTGTGCTGGACGAGATGTTTGTCATTTTACAATCATTTATTAAAGTTTTGTTTACAGCAATAAAGGGAATAAGTGGAAAATAACATCGATTAAATTTCTGGAACAGTGCATTCTTCACAAAATAATTTCTGATTCACCCATATATGTTATTTGATTCACAGTTTTTGAAATTTTCAAGAATTAAAGATACAAAAAAAAGGAATGTAAAATCAATAATTTTATGAAAACTGGTATTTTTGGAACAAATTAAAATTATTTAATATTACTAACAAAGAACTTGCAAAGGAATGCTTTGGTGATATGAAGGAACTTAAATTAATTGCAACAGTTTATTAATCGAGACGATCCAACAATGTACCGAACAAAATTTAAAGACTAATAGTTAAAAATTTCCCTATTTCAGTATAAGTTACGTCTAATTCAAAAGCAACATAAACATGTCAAGATTTAAATCCTTGATTTGCTAATTATTAATAATACCTGATGTGTACATTTAAGAACACCTTTAAGCAAATTGCAATTGAAAATTTTGAAAATATGATTTAGACTAATGAGAATTACAGTAGTTTGCTAATGATCAAGCTTATAATTATGCTTTAGAAGTAGATAAGAAGTTCGTGTCCTGACTAATGATTGATTGAAACAGAAAATGATTCGGTAATTGATTGGACGACATATCAATATGCTGTTTTATTTAGAATTCAATCAACGTTTACTAAATGACAACACATTCCTGTCACTTTCTTTTTGCTCGGAAAAATATAATTTGTTTACATTGTATGCTCGATTAATTGCGCTTTTGAAATTAGAAGTGATAAATTTATTTTTTTATCTATGATATACAACGATAGTGGCAGTTAATTTTTAAAAGGTTTAATGTAAATAGGAATATAAGACAGTAAATATTCACTTTGGGTTCAATGAGATATCTATGTTTGTATCTTGTTTAGCTAAAACAAATTCCGTACCCATTATCGTTAGTTTTATTCCAATATGCTATCGAGGATCAATTTATTTTTGACTGAATTAGTAATAAAATGATATTATATCACTTTTAAATAATAAATATCGAAACTAAAACATCTTAAAAAACTTCAATTCCAGTCTTTGTGACAGATAATGGTGATGATGATGATCTTTTAAATTTGAATAAATTATCACCAAAATGAGCGCGAAGTTTGATAGGTGACCAATTTCCCGGAATGTTCAGTATAAAAAATGAGAAAAAAAAACATCGTAGAAAATAAGAGAAAAGTGAAATTAGTTATTTTAAATCTGAATTGATCTGATTTAAATTTCATTGAGATCTACGTCATTGAAAAATTATATCAATCAACGTTAATTAAATAAATTTAAAAAGGCAATACATGCAGAGAGTTTAGCGGAAGCACATTCTGCAACTAAATTTTTCTTTTAAAACTTATTGTTATTTCTAATTACATATTGTACTGACTAAGCTTCATTTTGAATCTCTTAAACCATATATGTACATTAGTTTTTTTCTTTTTTTGATTTTTTTTAAATTTCTTGTAAATGGGAAGGAAAAAAGTGCATGTTTTGTCAAGCATTTGTTTTCCATCAAACAACCAACAAAAAAAAGTATTTTCCAAAAAAGTCTCTGTTCAAATGCATAATTCTCACGTCCTTGACACTAATTTTTAAATCTCACAAACATTTTTCTGTTTCACGAAATAAACGCAAAAAATTGTTCTAAAAAATGATGAAATGAGTAATGTAAGTAAAGACTGGATTGAAACTTTGTCTTATTTTTGCTTATAATTTTAGTAAATGAAATGTTTTTATTAGCCTAAGACATATATATTAGATTAACATGTGTAATTCTTTAAATCGATCAGAAAT